ACTGGTTGACCCCACGGGTCACGGCTTCTCGTCAGGGCTTCACGAGTGTCCTGAGTTCTATCTGTGGTGCGGTCGTGGGTGCGTACTGCTGTGGGGGTCCGATAGTAGGACGAAACATCTGCCCAGTGTTCCCAGATTTTGAATGTTTCCCCAACTGACGCCAGTCCATGATGAATACTACTTCTGAAGACATTTATTTGGCTATTAATTCTGGAGGATGTACTAAGACCTATCATCTTAATCCATTTATCATGACAATATGAACTGTTGAGAAACCGGAATATATATGCGCTGGTTAACTTAAAAGATGCGGCCCACACGATCACTTACTCAACGTCCAAGAACCTAGCAGTGACGTCTGCAACCACTTCGCTATTTTTCTGGTTTCCACCTGTATTTCCGGAGACACTAAACCATGGTCATCCCCGAAGTCTTTAAACACAGCGCGATTCGTCGTCACTGTTTTACATGGTCCCGAAGAAGTCCCGTTCTGGTCCCCGTCCGTTTGGGGATTATCGAGCTCTCAACCAACAGACCATCCCTGATCGGCAACCACTATCTCATAACTAGGAGTTCGCTAATAATCTACCCGGACTTCAATGTCTTCTCAAAGATATACCTCGTTAGAGCTTGTGCCCCATGTTCTTATTAGTTTGTACGACCTGTCAATGACAGCCATTGCTGCTCCTCATGGTATATGTGAAGTCGTTCAGGTGCCGCTCGGAATTATGAACGCTGCTCAGACATCCCAATGGTTCGCAGATAACGGCCTCCACGGATCCATCCTTGCGTGTTTCATTTCATGACATACCTGACACTAGTACAGATGAGACAGGACACATGAATCACCTGAAAGTCGCCCCCAGAAACTACAAAATTCGGGATAGTAAATAATCTCCATAAGTGTGAAGTTAGGAAAAGTTCTTCGAAGTTCTCTATGCAATTAGTTGACAAACTAGGCATAAAGCCAGTTCCGGACGACGAGAAAATTAACGAAGAGAACCCACTGCCAGATCCTTTTCAGAAACTAAGTTGTTTCTGAGGGCTAGTCAACATTTAACATAGCCTCTCCCCAAATTGTCCCACCTTCTACAACCATCAACTGATTGCTTAAGTGGATACTTGCGCTCACTCCATCCATCTACGTACGCACTGCAACCATCTAAAAAGATTAGGAGGTTTCTTACTGCAATGAAAATCCTCCCCAGGAGACATTAGCCTTCCTTTATCGCACATGACAGACGCCACCAGTATTGCTGTTGGAGCAGTTTTACGACAAAACGTACGTACGAAATGGAAGTTTGCCTCCGATATTCAACAAGACAATGCATCAGAAAAAAGCTACTGATGCATTGTCGTACACACACTTTTAAATACGTGCTGTGTCCCAACACTGATTACCAACGTCCATCAGAGTTAAAGGAATGATTTGGAATTGGAGAAGTTACTGTCTCCCATACTGACTTCCTTAGTTTTCTTCGAAATTCTATTTAGCATCCAGTGGAAAGCTTCGCCTGTTTATTCCCTAAATGATGAGCTACTGTCTTTGATAAACTATGTGAACTATAGTACACTGAGGTTAACGCGATGACCAGGCTGGCCAACGAGAAGTGTGTAGCCAAATAATATTCGTGACCAACACAGGGAATCCGAACCTGTCTTGGATGACAAAGTAAAAACCCACCATCGAGTAGACGCTTCATCCGATCAGTTTCCTACCCTTCAGTAGATTTGGACACATCCATTTAGACAGCTGAGCCACCGCCTCCTCCTTCCAACTAGCGCAACCATCTCCATACAAACACAAATCGATATACCCGCCTGCCCATCGCTGTTTTGCTGCCGTAAGTTCGAGGCGAAACGGTTACAAAAGCGCCAGTGGACCACTCGATATCCAGCTCCGGTGTTCCCTCGGTCATCACTACTGATACAGGTGGACAGTTTGAAAGCCCCCTGTTCTGACAGACTTCGGACCCGTTTGGCATCAAAAGCATGTGCGCGACAACATACCACCCTACTTCGAATGGTATTGTGGAACGCCTACACAGATGACGTAAAGTGGGACTTACTACTGCTCTGACTGACAATAACTGGTCTGGCAAACGGCATTCAGCACCACTTGTGATTAAATCCACCTTAAGAAGAGGGATTGGTTATTACTCTTCAGTTAGTTTGTGATACAACACTGGGTCTATCAAGAGACTGTTTCACCACGGATGGCTGGGTTCCACTGGATGTGGCTAACTGCGTGGAACTACTGAGAAACGTATGAGCAAGTTAAAAACACCTTCTTCACGATCGTAACAACGACTGTCTGCCTCGCTGATTGTGTTCATGTTTCTGTCAGAAGAGATGGAGCCACTTGGCGGCTTGTGATGGTCCATACAGTCTTTAGCGAAAGTGATAAAATAGTTACTGCCGGCGGTTTCTGTCAAACATGCTATTAGCATTGATTCAGCAAGGGCTTCTTACACTGATTAGCCTACAGCAACAAACGGGAGTGATATTATACCAGCACAAACTGTAACAGGCGAAACTTCTACAGAGCAGCCTGAAAGAGTTACTAGGCCAGGTACAAGAGCTCACTGGTAGGGGTGCTATGAGCAAGCAATGATGATTTAATTATTCCTTTTTTCAAACAGTACTTTCTGCATCGTGTTAATATGTCTATTTTACACAATTATATACCGTTTATGCGTGCTCACATCCATTCGTTTGCAAGGCTTCACAAATTGTTTTCATCTAAGGTATGTGATTTTTTGGCTGGCTCTTACCCTTGCGTATTCTAACTGGCTTTTACGATTGCTAACTAAATAATATTCATAATTCAGCAATCAAAGCTAAAAGTTACTATGATATTCCGGTAAAACGCTGCCTGAATATTCACCTGACGTTATTTATACTAGAGAGGTTTTCGAACACAAAAATGTCGTACTTCATGTGCCACTGTTCTAGTGGGGAGTTATGTTCTCTAACCCATAAGACTTTATTAGAGCATCTTTTGAAACATTTTTATACCAGAACCGCGTTAATATTAAAACTAACATCGTCTACGCACAATGGATACCGAAAGCCACAATTATTTCCATCGTATCAGATCCTGTTGAGTCTTTCAATTTACCGGTTGCCGTTTGTGTTTTGTAGGCGCTTGTTGGTTAGGATTAGGTCCACAAAACTCTAGTCGAGCATGGATGATGTTTGTCTGTTCTATCTAAATTCAAACCAGAAATCATCTGGGACTATTTCACTTGTACATCAGGGCCACGAACCCTTCTATAATCTTCGATAAAACCTATCTATTCAGACAGTTTGTTCCAAAGGCTATGGGAATAGTGTGACATACTTATTCGCGGCCCGGACATTCATCTAACACACAAACAGCGGCAATGGCAGTATTGGCCACAAAGAAAATACCGCCCACAAAAACAACGTATTTCGCTTTTATTCTTGCCAGGACTTCAGTCCGTGAACAGCTTCCCTTCTCTTTATCATGTACTGATGCGACCAGTCAGTACAAAGACGTTTATCCCTATCGCTAATCTAATGTGGATTCTTAAAGGCGATTTCATTTGCTAAGTGGGCACCCAGCACAAAATTCGCGCGAAGTTATGCTAAGTCGACTTAATTCTTCTACCACTTATCCAATCTTAACACCAGATGTATCCCCGAAGAACACTTTAGTAGGCGCTGTGGTGATAAAATAACAAGAAGCGGGTGGTAAGCTTGTTGCCTAAGGTCTTCCATGTCTCCTGGATCCATCAAGTTAAAATATATTAAACCAAGTCTGGTCTTAGATACAACACTACAGCGCTTGGTGCGTTCATGACGTTTCTGGACCTATTTACCGCTGATGACTGAGGATTCCCTGACTTCCCTACCCTAGAGGCATCAGTCCACCTAGGGTAGGATGCGTCTGGATTGTCTGGACAAAAATTTCGATCCGAGACGTGTGGCACAATGGGTGAAACAAGCATACTTAGGGATTAGCTGACTGAAACCAGTGGCTTATTCTCAAATTTTCTGCTTTTCAGAGGCTTCCATAAGGTCTTAGAAATCATTGGCTGTACACTACCGCACTGTTTACAGGATATGGGTGCTGGTTCAGTACATTTCCAACGACCACAGCTACTACATCGGATTTGCTGCCACAAAGAAGGTAGACTACATGAGCATACTTTATCAAACATAGTGATAAAACGGTTGAAAGGCGAAAAATTCCCGTAAAGTAATCGGCATAAACTATTATTCTGCAGGTTTTTAACACTAAATAAGAGGTGCTAAAGAGAAAAACATGTAAAAGAACAAATATAAAAACGGGACACTTGACTCGATGCAAAATCATCAGGAAATTTTTCTTCAGCTGGAATGCTTCAACTCGAGATTACCTACAATAGCTTCTGATGTCATTAAAGAAACGTAAGCCGAATTATTTTAAAGTGGTATAACATTTTACTCTCTTTTCGAAACGAGTGTCACTAGAAACCTGAGAAGCGGTTGAGAGGGTTGTAATAGACATGTAGCACCACACACTTCCCCAAAATTAACAGTCTGGGGTTTGACGACACTCGACACTGATGCTGACCTTGATAGTTTAACTGGACTTGCTAAGCTGAAGGCACCAGGTCAAGCATCCTCACCATTTGGAATGCTGTCGTGTTACGTCGCACTGCTTGTATTCGGCTCTCTAGCCAGTTAGTTGGAACGCATCGGTATCTTGGCACAACCACCCAAATATACTATTCAATCCGACTACGCTACCGTGTTCTTCCTTGGTCTCGTATTCGTGGGTATATAACAAGTCCGAATAATTAGTGATTGGTCTTTGCGTCTGTCAAGTTCGCACCAGGACAAATCCTAAAGACATAAAAAGTAAATAAACACCCTCAACAAATTAAATTTCAACACAAATCAACTTCAGTGAGTGGAAATAATGTTCGTTGGCTGCAGAAGAGAACTAACTAAAATTCTTTAACTCCACTTGATCAGGTTTTAGGAATGAGTGGCGGGATTCAGACAGTCGCGTTACACCGGGGAGTATGAGAGTGTCTTTTATTCATGGGCAACCGGTTAACTTGCTGTCGCCAAACATGGATAGAGCTTCATGACGGAGGTTTAGAAGATCCTAAAATTGCCTCTCAGTCACGAAGCTCTGGCTACCGGAACAATGGTGCTGATTTTTCTGAAGAGGATAGTGGTTTGCATGTTAAAAGTCGTGAGACGCTGATCAACTGCGCACGTAACAGCCTATCAGTAAAACCGGTTGTTGCATATAACACAATACAGCACATCAGTGAGCGTGAACCAGAAGGTTTGCCATTGTGTTAGCATTTTCATCCCACCAACCTGTAGATACAGAATTCGATCCTTCGCTTAATGCCTCGCAGCATACATTGTTTTCTTCCAGTATTATGGGAAAATCTCAAGGTAATTGTAGTATTTTCCGTATCATAATTTTTGAACTCAGAAAGTTGTAGGCGATTCATGGTATGTAAATTCATTGTTGACTGATGTATTAACAGTCTAGATCAGGAAAAGAAGTTCTTGAAAGTTTCACCCTTAAACGATGGAGTTCATGCAGTACTATATATGTTGGGGATGGCTGTTTAGCCCGTCCTGATGTAAATGATATGGTCTGGTGTGTGTCTGTGGCAATCCGACTTCTAATGCACAGCGATCTAAACAAACATTTTTCGAAGCAGTTGCATAGTGATGTGTTTACACATTTGCTGAATGTTTATGAAGAGGTATATAAGACGTTTGATGAACGAGTCTATCCTATTGAGGTATGTTTTAAAAATTTGTCAACTTAATACCGGTTTGTGTATCTCAAATTTCATTGTAAATGGGATCTTGTGATCAGCAGCCACCTTAGTAATAATAAAAAGCCTTTTGTAGGAGTATTATATTCGATAAATTCAACTACAAGTAGTATGCGTATATGTGTCTAGGGGCTGAAAAGGATCTAAATACTGACATCCACACTGTAAAAACCTGCAGGTATTACTTCCCAGTTAAATTCTGCTGAAGTATACGTCTGAGCACCGGGCTAGTGACTCAAGTAATTTTGAAAGGGCATTTGCAAACTTGTATATTGTTTACAAAATTAGCAAAACCTATTTTCATACCCCTTTTTTTAAAACTAATAAAATTTTATTCTGTCCTTTATTAGCTGACTGTTACGGTAACCTTAAATTTCGGGGTGCATTACCTTTCTGTGGCTGTTAGTCAGCTATGATTCAGATGTATTCCGATTCATTCCATATCACTCTGCACTATACTGTGTGAACTGACCGCTAATTTTTTAGTCACTAATTTCAATACATTTTGTACGTTATAGCACATTATTTGTATAACTTAAGGAAGCATTTCTTTGTTTTTTCTTAGGAGTATTTTAATAAGCTCATAAGGTGTCGTTAGGAAAGATAAGTGGTTAGTCCTATTTTTCTGAGATGGTATTGTTACAGTAGGCGTTAACTCTCGCTAATACTGTGATAATGACTCAACCCGCTTTATGTTTATGTACTAGGCTGTGGGCTCCACGTTTGTTGGTTTTTAATGCCATCTATTTTCTCAGGTTTAAGTAGGTAGAGTGGGATATCCCAAAAGCTACTGTTCGAATGTCAAATACTCAGGTCACTGACTCGTCTATCATCTGCAAATAACCACATTCTTGTTTCGTTTTTAGCTGACCATTTTATCAACGTTGACAAGCCTTCACTAAGGCATTACTTCCGTGTGCAGATTAAAATAGTAGTCGCAGTTAAAAGTGATAAACTGGCCGATAAGTTCGTTAACTGCTAATCCATTTAAGTAGCTGGCACATGTTACGCATACCTAGTCTCCACCTACCTGATTTTTCAACGTTAACCTAGATTTAGATTCGAAAAAAGTTAAGGGGATCCAGATCCAAGGGTAGCATCAGTCCTGGGAATCTCTGATTGCAGGGGGTCTGCTTGACAACCGTAATCGGATGCTTGAAGGCTGTCAAGGCTTATAATCTATCTAAGGTGCAAATTCAGATATGCACTACATTCATTCCAGTTGTCATATCGAATTTCGTTACTTCTGTCGTCCCCTTTTCTCTTGTGACTGCAGCACTTTTGAACACATTTGTTTCCTAATTTATTGGTTCCTTGTATCCTAGTATGGTGGTGTAGTGTTGCAACTTGGACTGTTAAGCTCTAATACCAGGTCCTACTTCAATGTTCATTGGCATCTTCAAGCTTGTGTTTCTAATGTGTGTTTCACCAGATGTAAATTTGACTCAGAAATTACCATCGAGAGGCTACTATTTTCCATCCCTCCCCACTTATAAGTGAAAAGTATGTCGTCTCTTTGAACTTTTGACTGAACTAGCAAACTAAGTGGGAAAGACTGCCAATACTGGATGGGGAAATCAAATATGGTCATCTCTGACTAATCACAGCTTGACTTCCAATCCTCAAGAGGAAAAGTCCTCTTGTGATAAATGGAGAAGCCAGTTCCACCTATAACGACTAGGAGAGACGCACTCAGCAACCTTGCGCACTTCCTTGCAGTATGCAGAGAGCCAAACCTATTGTGTGAGGGCTAGTATTACCACTTGGCTTCCCAAACCTCAGTACACGGGGGAGGGTTCGAACCTGTGACCCACTGGTTGAGTCATCGCCCTAAACCACTGAGCCACAACTCCACATTATGGCTAAGAGACAAACTTTGATCGATCGACGTCTATATTTCGTGAACAGACCTATCAAGCTTCAGATGTGTCTATAAGTGTGTCAATAAGATTTCGAAATTGGTATGGCAATACATGACACTAACTGTATTTCTTGACTCGATGGCATCATTCGACTACCATTGAGAGCTTTTACGGTAGTATCTCTCACTGCAAACTGTTTGGTCGAAACTGCATCAAACTAATGAAGACAATACTTGAGAGAGCTTGTGGTAGTTTAAGAAATTGGGATGAGCTATCTATTAAAGTGTCCATGTCAGTGATGCCTATCAGAGACTTTCACTCCCTTTTTCTCTGCCTTTGTCATGAAAGTCTCACTTCTTCCATCTGACTGTTCTGGAAGCAACCTCACAAGAGACTTTCAAGTCCACATAAGGCACTGTAACGATAGTCTTTAAGTGAGAACGCTGGTTATAGGAAATAGTCTGAACATGTTGAGAGAATGCCTGAGAGGTGTTTCTTATGCTCTTAACTGCAAACTCGCTTCAGAAGCGTTCTGCGTTAATACCCTACCTGACAAGAAGTGAAGTAGTTGAGAATGCTGACCAGTTATTCGGGAATTCGGATCAGTGACTGATAAAGTCCCTCTGCGGACACAAAGGCTCTGACTGGCTTTTATCAATTTAAGTGACTGGTGGCAAATGCTAAATTAGGTAATGAGTCACACCTGTTGTGTGAGAGCTAGTTATACTTCCTGGCTGCCTAGACCTCGGTAGTTGGAACGTGGTTTGAACCCGTGACCTGTCGGTTGGAAGACCAATGAGCCACAGCTCAGCGTACGTCTTAGAACCTGTGGTGTTAGCGAGTGACTTATGTACGTTGAGTTGTGTCCGTCAAGAATATCCACTCCACTCTTATTCAACTTTTTCATGAAGGTACTTTTGGGAGTCTCCCTCGTCGTTTGACTTTACAGACATTGATCTTATCACATTGGAATCCATAGAAGACCTAGAGTGCCTAAATGACGATTTAGAGTCTGTGAGTACAGGTGGAGATTTGATAATGTTTGAGACACGTTTCTCGCCACACATGCAAATTACAACTCCAGGATTGGTCTTCAGCGCGCTTTGTCTAGAAATAAGGCATGAAATGGTTGAGTGCGTTGACCACTTCACTTACTTGGGAATTTGGATCAACCCTGGTGAGTCAATAACCGAGGAAATGAATCTCTGCATGAATGCATAAGGCTCGCTTGGTCTTCGCTAACTTACTCCATCTGTGGCATCATCGTGATATCTCTACCTATTTAGTGTAGAGTGTACTACACTGTAGTTCGTTGTGTTCTATGTGCTTGTGAAATACGATCATTGAAGCTAGAGGATATGATAAGATGTGGCGTAATACCACCACGTCAGTAACGTAGAAGTTAGGTGTAGGGTTTTGGACAGCAGAGGAATATCACTTGAGTTTATGATCATTCATCGATTGAGGTGTTCGTGACATGTGTTACGCATGCTTAGTCACCATCTGCTGCGTCAGACAGTGTTAAGTAGATTCAGGCTGGAGAAACGTTATAAGCGGCCAGATTAACACTCGGAAGTAGGTCATGAAGTCTTCGAGTGTCGATTTAAGCAATATGAGAAAGTGTGGGATTCCTGGTTGGACCGTGTGTGGCAACAAAAACCAGTGGTTGGAGACTAGGTGATATGGCTCAGAATTGATGTCATTGGCACAGATGCATCCCAGTATCTGGATCTTGATCGTCATACTGGATTTCAATATTCCTCCGTGGCTTCTTTTGATGACGTTTAACCACTTTTGGCTGCTCTGTTTTATACTCCTTTATCTTCCATTTTAGCACATCCTCACTTGATGTACTGACTTAAGATCTGGCGACCTAAACCGTTCGGCAGTAATACCAGTTTCTATGTTGATATTGCCTGTCTGTCTGGTCGAATCGTGTATCGTTTAACAACAGCCTTGATGGAGTGCTATGTATTTTAAAAAGCAATTCAGTCTGTCCTCCGCTATATCAACTTCGGTGTCATGTGCTTCATTTTTAGTTGACACTACTCCCCATAACGAAGTTCATATATTTGGTTGAGTATTTTTGTGACTGTTCATTGTGTTTCAGCTAATTAGATATCAAGCCGCATGCTGAAAGCCAAAACATGCGGTAGCAGTCTAAGTCACTGTTGCAACGTCAGATTGGTCGTTAAAAGTTGGAAGAATAAATATGTAATAAGGGTGGTTCTGCTTTATTGTCTATGAAACCTTGTATCCAAGCTTAGAGCGTACGATGACTCTGTGTATTTCATCATAGATGTCTCTGCTGGATTCCTGCTTTGTGGTGCGATTTTTGTTAACGAAGTTTTAGGTATAAGAAAAATCGTAATTTAACCAACGAGGTCTTATTGAAGCACCAACTTCTGTGACTTGAACATGCGTTGTGAGTTTCTTCTAAGCATCTTTCGTTCCATTCATTGTTCACTGACCCTAGGACCTTATTAAAGAAATGAAAAGGTAGTTAGGCTACGACGGGATACCATGCGATATAGGATATTTTTGTAGCATCACTATCTGTTTGTACACCACGTCTCTCTAGAAGGGATAGAAGAGACTCTGTAACTCAGTGGCTCGAGATGTTTTCAGATGTGGTTCATGATCCGGACCAGTCGAATGGCATACATATCAAGAGGTTACACAATGTTTTAATTGTAGCACTGACGAGTTCATATCTAGTATTATGCTCCTGTAATTGGAGCAACTGCATTTTGCCAGTCATCACAAGCTACTAGTTCACAAGTTTGAACGTGATTTCCACTACTCGACTTTTAATACTTATAGTGATTAGTTTGGTTTTTTTTAGATACATATTGTTTAATCACCATTATTTAGTCACTGCTGTACCTGGCGTTTTGTGTATAGTATCCCGTTGATGATTAAACACTGTGAGCTTGAGCAACCGAATAGTTCCATTAGTTTGACTTATAGTTTATTACAGAAGCATTTGGAAATGGTTTAGTTGAATGACCTCTTCTTTTCTTTTCTTCAGCATCTAAAATGTGATGAAAATTCAAAAAGCGATACTGTTAATGGTTGGGAAAATTCTGAGGTGAATTCCATACAACAATTTCTGCGTAGTCTTTTCAGTACTGCTCTTTTGGGACCCGAGTGCGCCATTGTTGCTCTTGTAAGTGACTCTTACTGTGCACTTATTTTCATTCGATAAACATATAGTTTAGACGTAAAAATGCCTTTAAGCTATCAAACAATGAACTCCATGACTTGATAAAGAATAAATATATTATGTTGTTGACCACAAACAGTGTGAAGTGAATCCTCTCAAAAATCTAGTGAATACTTTAATCTACCTTGTTGAGTTGTCGTTTATTGGTCTGGTTGTTCAACTTACAACCAAACAGGTCACTGGCTTGATATTCGCTTCACCTACCGATATTTAGGTGGTCAGGTTGTATCACTAATTTTAGCAAGATCTGTAACTCATTACCTCTACTACATGAATGTATACGTGTTATCTGAATGCCTCTTTGTTTTCTGACAGTGCCATTGTGTCAGATGCATTATGTCAGTCTCAATTGCTGAAGCATAATTTTTTTGTTGTGAAGTACGTGAATAAAACGTTAATGAGTTTCTATTACTAATTTCTGCTGATTTTTTATTGTTTTGTTTTTTCCAAATGAAGACATTTGATATGCTAACTCGTAAGTAAAATTATAGTCTCATGATAACCATTTTTTTTCGCGAAAATTCAATTTTTAAAAGACGTTCTTGATATCCAAAAGGTAAGCCTGGTTGATTCAAACTGTTGTACTAAGTGTCGATCATATCATAGTTATTTTGCAATGTTGTTATCACGTTCTCAGCTGCCGATGCTGCTTACCTCCATTTTGAATTCTACGGAGTAACTGCAGTTCTCGGGTAATGGTGTCATCTATTTCTGTTAATTTCGTGGAGGCAGCAGCCTATGAAATGAAGAGTCATGTAGGGGGAATTTAGAGATTTTTATGATCAGTTAGCCAATTTTTGAAGGGTGTCATTATCAGAGAAATGTATTGAATTCCCATTAACTTCTTATAGTAAAGGGATATTATTCCCTACTTCCTGCTGCCTCAAGTATTTTTTCATAGTTGTCATTTATTCAGTCAATTTAAACCAACAGTTAAGAAAGTCAAATCTTAGTTCTTGATTTGGTATGAACAACCCTCTTATTACATTGTTTAATTTAGCTTACATTCTATCGAAAAGTAGTCAGTTACGCAGTAATGCCTGGTCCTATGTTCATCTTGATGATAATGATACATTTGTTTCGTGAAGCTAGATGCTCTTATGTATGCTAGTTCTCAAAAAATGTTACTGAGTCACATTAAGTCCCGTGTTACATTGTTTAATAGCAGTCGGTTTTCATGTGTATGATGCGAAATATTAGTTCTTATTGCGATCAGCAAAATACCTAACATTCAGTTTTCTTGACATCTACCTTATTCATAGCCACAGAGAATTACAATCATGAATAACATAAACGTATGTGAATTCCAGTTCCCATACTTCTCAGTATTGTGAGAGGGGATCAAGAAGATAAAAAACAAAAGTTTAAAAGTTTTAATATCATCAGCTGTAAAAAGACGATGACGCAATAGGTGATAATATAAAAAATAGGAGATATAAAGACAAGATATAACTTATTGAAGAGCAGTATTTGAGTAGACCAACACTATGCAACAAACTCCGATACTGATAAATGTCGCCAAGCTGTGAACATTCTCTCGTTTCATGAATTAGTATTCATCATTTCTGCTATCAACGGAAAGCGTCCAACTACCACCTGTTTTATAAACCGGTGTGATGAAAATAGACCAAAGAATTCTAATTATTGTCTGGTTAACCATTTGACACCTCATTTAGGTTTCCTATTAACTCAGTGTATAGTGAACCTGTCATTCTTGAAAATGATTGGTACTTCTACGTTTCACATTGGTGTAGTTATATTGAAGCCTATTTTGGTCGGTATCAAGAAAACGATTATGGATACCTCCGAAAGTTTGCTTCTTGCTGAGCAAAGCTCTAGCCAAATACAGAGGAAAACATTTAGACCAATTCATGAATCCACGCGTAGTCGGAAGTTTATTATGTTGAGTGATCATAGTTTATTTCTGACTGCACATACTTCATAGTTTGTATCCTTAAGAAGAAAACTGGCTGCAACTTTTAGTCTTAATTTATTTAGGCTACATTTTTACTGCGCAATATCGTTGGTATGAAAACTTAAGCTAGAGGGACACTCATCTGACGATTAGAACGAAACAAAACGAACGACGAAACGCACCCGGTCATTTTGTTCAGATCCATGCAGTAGGCAGTGAGTAGCACACCTATTGTGTGAGGGCTAGTGATGGTACTACCTGGCTGCCCAAGCCTCAGGAGGTGGGACGGGGTTCGAACTCACGGCCTACAGGTTGAAGGTCTACGAAAAGTCATTCTGTCCACCATATGCTTGGAGCTGTCACAACCTATCCGGTAAGGGTTAAAAACACCCATTAAGCGAAACAAATGAATATGTTGCTTTGATTGAATATCTTACTGAAGGACGATATAATCGTACGTCTGTGCTTCAAAGAACCATGTGTCATAAAATATTATCTGATATTATAGAGGTGCACTGTGATGCCTCGAACGTTTATTTAATACTAATAATTGATCTATCATATTAGATTATTACACACTAAGCTTCAAATACTGATCTCGAGTGAACGATTAGGCAGAATTATTTGAGTCATTATCGTTTCCATGTCAATATTTCCATATAATTACTTCTCTTTCTTGGTTATGTTGAAAACACACAAGGTTACAACGAAACACCGAGGTCACACGGTCAGTTGTCGAAGTCTGTTGTGTTAATCAACACAACCATAGTAACAGACAATGGTAATCTGAGAGCTTACATCAACGACCAAAATATATCACACTCTCTCCAACATATTTCCCAACCTTTTTCTGATAGATTTCCAAATTATATATATATATATATATATATATATATATATATATATATATATATATATATATATATATATATATATATAGGTTTAATTTTTTTACCTTTGGACAGATATTTCTCGAACGACTTATCATTGGAGCTGAGGTAGCCATGACCTCATGGACATGGCGTCGTCAACTTTTGGCCTGCGTTCTTCTTGCTAGTAAAGTCTTAGATGATCAAGCTGTATGGAATATCGATTATTGTCAGATTCTTCGGGATATCCATGTTGAAGATTTGTAAGTTTAAGAATTGTTAAAAATTGTCGATTTTCAAAACTTTTTGTTTACAAATCATAATATTCTGCATGGTTAGTCCCATTATGTCTGTCGTCTATTTGTATAATATTGTATGATTTTAGTAGCATAATTTATTGATATGAATTATTCATATTTGATTCGTTATTGTTCTTCATTTTCTTACCAAACTCTGCAGACTTTATTTTGTTGTTGATAAAGCTCTGTAAGTACTATGCCTAAGAGCCACAGGTTAAAACTTGATACATTGAAACATCATTTAACTTTATTTCTACTTATATAACAATCCATCAACTGTAAGAACTGTTACTATCCCCGAGTTATCAGTTGTAAAGAAGACAATCACTAATGCATGCTTTAAGTCATGAAGAAGAATGAGATCAATCTGATAAAGACTGTATCCAAAATTATTGTCTGAAATTAAGGTCATCTAAGCGATATATTTGGTTGAAAGTTTTAAAAAGGCATCATATATATAATCATGAGTGTTGACATATCTAGTTGCAAACGTGAGTATTCCCCTTGGTTTATCCGTATCGTCTTATTCTTGTGAGTAGTGTTTAAAGGGTGGGGGGGGGGGGAGGAGGCGAGTTATGTTAATATAAGATGATTTCACGTTCATTCGTTTTTAGTCCTATTGTTTGAATTAGTTTGAATGGCTTTAAAAACTATCCTAGCAATTGGTGAAATAGCCAATCAGTTTTCTCAATTTCTGCTGGGAAGTCATATTTTCATAAGATAACGAAATCTAATTGGTTATTTCAGATTTTGTTAGGGTGACCTTTAGAGTTACTCAATAGGAAAAGATAAGATGTGGTTGCAGCGAAGAGGCATTTTACTAAGCTGTACATTCCTGAATATATACTACAGTGGGGAGAACGTTCAAGAATTATTTCCGGTTAGGAAAGTTAACTGATACACATTTGGGTTTAGAGTGGAAAAATAGGCAAGGGATTATGGAAATAAGATTGTAATTGTGTTATACTGGATAAACTTATAACAGTAAGAAAATAAACATGTATAGTTACCATGCGTCCGCTTGTAAAACGTGTCCGCGAACACTACCCACCTTGGCTGGCAAAGAGAGAACGGAAATGTATCTTTAGTTCAATAATAGAACACCTCGTGAACTCAGGTCACTTATAGGTCCTTTTGAGAGCTCATTCAAAATCATCTGCAGGGTTCGATCAAACCATTCAAAGGAAGTAAGATCAAGGCGTTTGTCTATAGGTGAAGCACTAACCATCTTGAAATTCAAACCATCGTTATGCATCCGAAGTAGGAACGTCCAACTTTCATCTTTATCATGGCCATCATCAAGTCATGACTGTCATAGATTCATCCTGTATTAGACAACTATACATGTATTTCCATAACCCCTTGTTCATTTTCCTCCTCTGTCATAGATTTAACCTGGATTACGTAATTACAATTTTGTTTTCATAATCCATTGTCTATTTTCTCACTCTAAACCCAAATGTGTTTTAATTGACTTCCTTTAGTTGTTCAATATATTTTGCTCCCTTACCGGAAATAATTTTCGAATGTTCTGCTCATTGTAATATATATTCACCAATGTACATATTGGTAAATGACTTCATGGAAAAGAAAAATACTTCTTTGCTGCAACCACGTCGTGTCTTTTCTTATGATCAAGTGGATATATTCTGGTGTTTAAAGAGTCACTCAATAGTTTACAGTGTGCCTTATGTAGACGCTTCAGTTGAAAGGCTAGAAAAGAGAAGTATTCATTGTATCCTAAAGTTGTATCTGGGTAGTTTGCATTGGTATTATAGAACAAAGTGACCAACAATCCAGTATAATCAAAAGAGTACCATACTCAAAGGATACTATCGAGTGAATTAGACTCATATTGATGTTAGTTTTTAGCGTTGATTGATCTTGAAATTTATTGATGCATATCATATAATGGTGTTACATCACATGCAGTGACATATTTAGGATCCATGTATGTGTGATCAGTAGATTTAATAATTTAATAATTCCCATTGTAACATTAAGAACAAGATATTCAGCGAAGAGACTCTTTTCAACGAATTTGTTTTCAAGCTGTACAATCGTATATATACGATATTTGGAAAAAATTATATCCCGTGAGGAAAACTAAACACTATATAGTGATGACGATAATAATAGAGCGGATGATGACATAGGCATTTGTGATTATAATAACGATTGAAGTGCGAATGATAACAAGTAGATTATGTAATATATGGAGTGTTACATAGAGAGTATATAACTCAGAAGGGGGTGAAAAAATTGTTGAAAATGGTAAATCAATTAAGTATTATGTAATGGCATTAGACAAATTGGACAAGATGAAGTCAATGTTTTCTAAAAGGATTAAGACAATTAAGTGAAACAACACCGGAAACTAGTTAAAGTGAAGGCGATTATAATAACAATAATAGTGATAAAGGAAGGATACAAAGGTTAAATTAACAAAGTGGGAGGGGGAGCTAATGGGGTGGGAAAATGTTATGGCCATGATAAAGACAGTGACTGCACAAACTTCTTTTGTACACACAGATCAGGTCTTAGTTCATGAATAGCTAAAGCCTCCGCTGTTTTAAGGAGTTGAAAACGAAGAGAACGTGGGAGGTTTGGGCGAATTCGATAAATAATTTCAAAGTCATCGTCTGGATTTGTTGTGTGATGGAAGTCAATCAAATGTTCTAGAATCGAACTTCTAACAGACTTTCTTTCACCTTTATAAAACCAAGCAGGAACATGTTCTCGTATACGTGTAGAAAGCATTATCTGGTTACGGCCGATGTACCTTGCTCCACAAAAGCAGGTGAACTGGTAGATGCACATAGAGGCGGCCAAACGAGGAAGCTTGTCTTTGACGCAGGTGGAGAATAGGTTGCGGCTGGTAAAAGTCAACTGAAGTCTTGCTGCGAAGAAAGTCCAAATATCATATATATATATATATATATATATATATATATATATATATATATATATATATATATATATATATATATATATATATGTATTATATACGATTGTACAACTTGAAAATAAATTCGTTGAAAAGAGTCTCTTCGCTGAATATCTTGTTCTTAATAGATTTAAATTAACATGTGTAGTGTTTTTGTCATATTTTTATCGCATTCTTCCATTATGACAATAGTATATCCATATTTACAACACATTCTATGGTTTCATAGATCCTATTATCTTTACGGTACTCAAATTACTCAAAAGTACTCTGTAGATTTTGTAAATACTTCTATGGTAAACTAAAATGTGCTTATTTGTTACCAGATGTTTATAATAACATTTTGTGCATAACTACGTTTTTAATATGAAGTATGACATGTCGAAATGATGCAGTTTTGTGTGTGTGTGTATGTGTGTGTCAGGTTCTACTCTGATTCTGTCCTTCTGCTTGCCTATTTGTTTGTCTGTTGGTCTGTCTGACTCTTGAATACATCTATGATTGATTTTCAGCCATATCACCAAAAGTTCTATCTATCTGTCTGCCTGCCTGTCTATCATCCGTGGAAGAGAACAATTATAAAATGCTGTTCATGTGGGGGGAAAAAATTACTCCACCTGAAAGTCTGTTTTCCTTTTTCCTTGAGTATTTGTGGTGTGTTAATATTAGTTAGCCAGTACATTGTTAATTTACATTTGCATTATATATCACAAAATCTGCTTACTTTTAGGTTAGAAAATCAGTAATATTCTATGTATAAACAAACATTAGTTTTTTTAGATGAATGGGGATTTTTAATTTAGAAGCAGTTGTCATCATGGACTGACATTAGTTGTGGAACCATTAAACATCTGGGAGCAGTAGACAGCTGTTTCATCCTAGTATGGGACTCCTCAGCAGTATGCACTCATGACCCCGCCGCAGATAGAACTCAGGACCTCCAGGTTTCATGGAGAACGCGTTAAGCAATCGGCCACCGGGTCGGTTTCCAGTGGTTGACAATTTCCAACTTCTCTGAATTCACGACATACGGCGACTGTCACCCAAGGTCTTCAGTTAGCATCCTCTTGACTTCCAACTGGTTGACCCCATAGGTCACGGCTTCTCATTAGAGCTTCATGATATCCATCTGGAGGCAAGTCATTAATGAGCACTATACAGTAATGTGTTTTTGAAATGAATGAGGATTTTTTTTATATTTAGAAGCACTGCTGTGGACTGTCATACTAGGACGAAACAGCTGTCCAGTACCCCTAGATTTTGAATGTTTCCTCAACTGATATCAGTCGATTATGAATACTACTTCTAAACATTAGTTTGATGAAATCATACTTGAATATATTATGTTTTTGCAAGTTTTTTTTTCAATATAAAATTAATCTATTTCATTTTAATATATATTTATAAAACAGGAATGCTTTAGAAAGACATACATTACGATTATTACAATTCAATATCAATGTACCATTTGCAGTGTATGCCAAATATTATTTTGACCTACTAACTGTTGGAGAAAATGCTGGTGTCGCAAATCAAATCAGTAAACGCAAACGTTTAACACCTGAAAGGGCATACAATTTTCGTATTCTCCCAATTTATACAGAGATATGTATACCTGATAAAACAGTATTTGATAAAGGATTCCTTTTTGATTTACCTCATGCTATAAAATCAGAAACTGTATGCAATGGAAATGTGAAAAAAAAAGATAAAATAGTTGAAAATTCTACACTAGTTAAAGGGAAGAAAGAGTTTACGCAGAAAAAGTTTATTAAAACACCATTCATTGTTCGAAATCAATTAACTAATCATGATAATCAAAATAATAATGTTATCCCTATTGATATATATAATCATCAGTCTTCCAATAATGTTATAATTCCTTTAAATGAATCATCTTTAAGTCCAATTGAATTAGATGATGAAACTGATTTTGTGAATTCCACTCCTTCATCGATTTTAAAAGTTCCAGATTATATTTCTCAATCTAAACAGATTAAAACAAAATATTGTGAAATAAATCAAAAATTTCCCATTCAATCTCATCCTTTATTATTTTCTATAAACTGTCAAAAAACAACTGCACCCTGCATAAACTATTCTGTTAATTCTCCATATGAAGCATTGGATACTCTAGATTCTATTCAAGAGTTCAATGGATCTCATTCTCTTTTGTCTACTGAACAATCAGGATCAGATTATCGTGATAAAACAGAATTTATGCGATCTTTAATGGGTGGTGATGTAGCTTACTCTTTATTACGTGATTCTGGTTTATACTGACTGGCTTAACATTCATATTTGTTTGATTGTTTTAATTATTATTTAGCTTAGAATGATGAATTTTTCATTTTACCAGAAGTAATCTGTGTTATTTCGCTTTTTTTTTTTAATGCATTTACTGATTTTAGTTTATTTTATCCATAAATTACTATCACCTAATTTCAGTAGTATTAGTTGTTTTTGTAAAAATGTCTACTGCTCTATGGCTTATTTGTGCTCAGCTTATTTTTGACTTGTTTATTTTCTGCTTGATTTCCTTTTTAGATAGGATAATCATTTGGGATATTTCTTTTTTTCGTTTTGTTTTGTAGTCTGTTTACTTCCTCCATCAGTGATCTCTTGTCAATACCATGTATAATATCAGTCTAGTCTGATTTGTGTTATCTATTCATGTGTATACAACGAGCTATCAACACACAACGAGTATAAGATATGTATCATTATTTCCTTGTTTCAACCAGTTTTCTTATCTCTTTTGATATATATGCTGTTTAATTCATATATATACTTATTTACTTATCATCCCACCTTTTGGCTTTTTTTTTGCTGTAACCTGAAATACTGCTGTATATTGAAGAAAATGATTTTTTTTAGAAGAAATTGTTGTTGTATTTACTGTTATCTGCTTTATAAACTGTACATCATTCAAGTGAATATGATTTTAATTGCGTAAATACATTTTGTTATAGATATCATTATTATCATGACAAAAATGGTTATATGTGTATATACTTTGTATGATGGAGAATGTAAAAGTGTTTTGTAGTCTCTTTTTTGTATGGGTTTGTCTGAAGTTGTAGTAATATGATCATTTGGGATAAATTCAATCCACTTATGAAATGGATTTTCATGAATTAGTTGGTTCATATCATATCAGTGAATGAATAGGTGTCATTGGATAATTTAATTTCTGAAAGAATAGTGTGTTTATGAAATTAGGAAATCATTAACTTCATTTATCCACTTTAAAAGTTAGATTCAGTTCAGATTATTTATCAAATCAACTACGCTACTTCATTCTGTGTACTTACCGATTTGATAAACAGACAGAATCAACTCCATATTAGGTTTATTTATTTGATTTATAACACACCATGATACAGTATTATTTACTTGATGATGACGTTTCGGGCATAAATTATTACTCATAATAATATCAATGTAATCACACCACTTTCAACAACCGACTTTTATAGTCTTGTCGCCTCTTATTCTTTGTTTCTATTGATAGTAAAATTTTTCATATTTCTAATATGGAGGTGTTGCTTCCTTATTCTTATTATATGCATTGGGTGTTGGCTGATTCTATGAATGAAGATTCAGTAATCAATCTCTTCACCTAATTATATTGCATTTAAGCACAATGGTTTTATCCCGTCTTATTGTGTAGTTGTGTGTTGATGCATGCATTGCAATAACCGAGTGTTTTTGTAGCTTACTCATTTTATTCGGGTCTATCATTCTATATTTAGCTAAATTTTTATGTTCCGCTGTTTTGACTGGCCCCGACCGGCTATTGCAATGCGTGCATTAGCACACAAAAGGGTGGGATAAAACCATTGTAATTATTATAATTAGGTGGAGAGAAAGATTGATTACTGAAGCTTTGTTCATGGAATCACAATCACAACTAAATGAAAATCCAAGCTACATGATGAACGTTTTCAATACGTTAATTTCGATTTAGCAGGACTTTTCATAAAATCGAAAAACCCTACTGACTTATTTACATCAGTTCATATGACGGCTCATCGCCTGCCTTTTGAGTGATATATCTGCAGATAATAGCACAAACGTTTCTTTGAATCTCTGGATAGGAAACTTTGTTTTACCCACTACTATTATTTCAAAGACATGATCTCAATTTCAGTCGATATTGTTTTAAGAGTTCATTCGCCTCGTCTACATCAAATTCGCACACCTGGGTATTATTCTGCACCAAATGGTGGCATCGAGAGATTTCAATGACAATTAAAAACGAACTTATGGTACAAAATGATGTAACTAAACAGAGCGAATACTTCTTATTTGTACTGCTACCGTATTGGGCGCTGCTCATCAGAATGGATATAAGTAGTATATGTTGAGAGGGCGGCAGAAATCATAGGCAATTACCAGCAATGGGTAAATATTTGCTCAGAAAAACTTAAGAGACATGGTGGGCGTATTAAGAGCAAATCAAGATAAAAACAGAAAAGGAAATGAAGCACATCGTGAAAATGACTGTTTTAGTGGAAAGTATTCAATATATGATGACTACTGTACAAGATATCAATAATAAACATTCCTTCCTGTGTCTCAGTCTTGTTGCTTCCTACACTACTACTAAGGAAGATCTGGAAAGTATCGAAGCCCAGGTAGTTTATGGAGCAAACCTGGTTTCTTCTCAAGTTGGTATTCACCGTGGACTGACATCAGTTGAAGGAACATTGGAAACCTGAGAGCACTGGACAACTGTTTCGTCCTTGAATGGGACTCCTCAGAAGTGCGTGCATATAACCTCACAGCGAAAGCTTGTCAATCCATAGGATGCTGGAACTGCTAACTGGCTCAGACAATTTATGTCGAAATTAAAGTCTGCACAAACAGATGAAAATCAAGGGGAGTAACATCTGTTGTTCTGCAAATTTATTCTTGTTGAGATTGGCGTTAAAAGAAATGGATACAGCCACTGTATAAGTGGCATTTACGGGTGATTGATAACGCTAATAAATATTTTGCTATGTACAGCATAGAACCGTAGCGCTGGAATACCTTAAGCAAGGGTTTGACGACAGAGAAGCTTTAGCTACCATAGTAGCATAGCTTCATGTGGAAATGTTGTCTGCCAATTCATCACAGCCAACTCCACCTACTATTAAGATTTTTTTCGATTTTGCCTCGTAGTTCAGAGAGCAGACGTCAAATTCACGAAACCTGAGCATTGGTTGGTTGCATTTGAACAGTTTCCCGTCTTGATTACAAGTTGTAATTACTTGCATTAGACGAGCCTCTATACCTATTCATATTTCACATTGCAAGTATTTTGGCTTTACACTGTTTACTGTACATTCATGCATATAATTTTCTACTGGTGAGTGTTTATGGCTAGTGATTAAGGCAAGAAATTTGATGACATAAATGTATAGGTATCCTAAACATCAATTTTTTTCATATTGGATCATGCATTTTAATGTTATTGTCCAACAGCCTACATTATTATTATTTGTCCCTTGGGTTCCTAGTGGAACATGGGGCTTCAGTAGTACGTCGCCACTCCACACTGTTCTCTGAAGACTTTTCAACCTGGCTCCACCACTGCCCAGAAGTTTTCATTTCTTCCTCACATGATCTCCTCCATGTCATCCTCGGATACCCAACTCGTCGTTTCCCGTTTGGGTTCTACTCAAGGGAATGACCTGGCACGTGATGTCCCCGAATGTGTAGGTCCAATCTAATCCATCTCCACTTTCTTCTGCATATTTATTGGGCGATAGATTCTTGGTGGATATATACCATTCGATAATTTTGAAAACTTGCAGAAAAATCTCATTTTAGTTCCAAATGGAAGTCAATCAATTTATTCAATACACTTGGCCAGTAATGATCACACGGAAAGCCTTCCCTACATTTCTTCACAAGCTAACGAAAATACAACTGATAATGCTAAAATCAGTAAATCTAACAATAATCAAGCCATTTGTAATAAATGTCTTGTTATATGCACATGGTTCCGCTCCATGTTCAATTAACTCATTGGTTTCATAACTTTTGTCCTGTTAGTTATGTAGTACACAATTCAATTACTTATATTTACAAACAGTTATTGTATTATTTTCAATTATAATTGGCTTTGATGTTTCTCTTCACCTAAAACTTTTGGTATACCGTACTACATTATATATCATTATTCTGAAGCAAGACACTTCTACGAAACACTGGCAAGTGAAACAGAACAGGCTGCAGGTAAAAGAGACCTGACAACTTTGTATCAAATAACCAGGTTACTATCTGGAAAGGAAGAGATCAACGCAGATGAAACCAACAAAAGATGATGATGGGAATATGCTTACCGAAGAAGAGAAACAGGAAACGATGGGCTGACCACTTCAAGAAGCTCTTGAATCGACCACCACCTGCACTTCGTCCAGAAATACCACCTACAGCCCAGACACAGAACTACAAGTGAACATAAATCCTCCAACAAAAATGGAAGTCCTGGGCGCCATAAAGCTACTGAAATGTGGGAAAGTAGCAGGACCAGATGGAATCCCGCCAGAAGTACTGAGAACAGACGCAGAGACAACAGCGGACATGCTCACACCACTATTGCAGAAGGTGTGGAAGGGAAGGCACCTGCAGATTGGAAGAAGGGCTACATTATCAAACTCCCGAAGAAGGGAGACCTCAGTGTTTGCAAGAACTGGTGCGGAATCACTCTCCTGTCCACCCGGAGCAAGCAAAATACTAAGCCGCATCATCCTGGAGAGGCTGAAGGATGCACTGGATTCAAAACTACGACCGGAACAGGCAGGCTTCAGGAAGTACAAATCATGTGAGGACCGAATTGCAACGCTTCGCATCATCATAGAACAGAGTATAGAATAGAAGTCAACTCAACTCTACGTCAATTTCATCGACTTTGAGAAGGCCTTCAACAGCGTCGACTGAGAGGTAATTTGGAAACTGCTTCAACACTACGGAATACCACAAACCTTTATCAACCTCATTCAACAACTATATGAAGACGCCACATGTCAGCCAAGTAATTCACAATGGGAAGCTTAGTGATGCTTTTGAAGTGAAGACAGGAGTGAAACAAGGTTGCTGTCTACTATCACCCATGATATTCCTGCTAGTTGTCGACTGGATCATGCGGCAGACAACAGTGGGGAGCGAGAAGAGGGGGATACACTGGCTGGACTGCGGAAAAGATCCTAGAAGATTTAGATTTCGCCAATGACTTGTGTCTGATGTCACACAAACTTGAAGATCTACAGGCGAAAACTAACAAGTTGACAGAAGAAGCAGGGCAGGGCAGCGAAGGAAGACGGGACTTCAGGTGAATATAGAGAAGATAGAGGTGATGAAGATACCGCACCACTACCAACAACAACAAACTCCAATCACCATCAACGGGAGAAACTTAAAGGAAGTAACCACCTTCACCTATCTAGGGAGCACTGTTTCAACTACAGGCGGCACAGGCACAGACGAGGATGTCAAAGTCAGAATCGTAAAAGACAGCAAGACAGGCGTTCATTAGCCTGAAACCAGTGTGGAGATCTTCTGCACTCAGCATAAAATGTGAAAAAGATCCGGATTTTCAACACCAACGTTAGTTAAGTCAGTGCTTGTGTATGGTTCAGAGACTTGGCGAGTTACGAAAGGGATTTCCAACAAACTACAGATATTCATCAACAGCTGCCGCTTACGCTGGCTCGTTACCGAAGCTCAGATGGATTGTCAGAATAATAAGAATAAGTAACAAGGAACTCTGGGTGGCTGTCAACGAACTAACCAATAAGCTATCGCTGAACAAATATGCAGAAGGAATTGGAGATGGATTGGGCATACACTGAGAAAGCCGACTGGAGACATCACGCTTCAGGCCCTCAAGTGGAACCCCGATGGGAAGAGACGAGTTGGACGTCCGAGGGTGACATGGAGGAGATCGTGCGAGGAGGAAATGAGAGGTTGTGGGCTGTCGTGGAGCCAGGTTCAAAAGATTGCAGAGGACAGAGTTTACTGGAGAAGTGCTACTGGAGCTGTATGTTCCATTAGGAACCCAAGGGACAAATAATAAAAAAATTCCTGAAGCGACAGCAATTTTTAAGCCACTTAAAATCTTTTAATTATCCATAAAGTAAAGTAATATGCAATCTGGAGGTTTGTGGTTAATTTATCGATTCCAGGTTGGTACTAATCATGGACTGACATTAATTGGAGGAACACAGGAAACCTGGGAGCACTGGGCAGCTGTTTTGTCCTAGTATTGGTCTCCTAGGCAGTGCGCACGCACGCTCCTAACAGGGATCGAACTCAGGACCTTCAGGTTCAGCGGCCACCACTTTACCAATGAGTCACTGGTCCACATTTCCTACTTCTGTAAGTTCATGATATAGCGTGACCTCCATCCAATGTCATTGTTGAGTAACTGTTCTCATGTTCGACTTGGTTGGCCCCCCACGGTCACGACTTCTCACTGGAACTTCGTGAATCAACTCTCGAAGCTAGTCACTAACGAGCGTAAGGTTGATTTCATTTGGAG